AAGCTCTGCATCAGGAAGCTTCTGCTAACTGGTGCCTCATGCCATTATCAGCAGAGCAGAGCTCAGCCAGATTTCACCACCAGCAATGTCAGGCAGCAGGGCAGAGACTGGACCCGGAGGGCCAGCCCAACTTGGCCATTGCAGGGTCTACTTGTATGATGAACTATTTCACAAGTGATCACAAGTCTGGGCTCTCTTCCTCCTGAAGGACTGCCCAAGATCATCCCATTCATTCTGGTTGCTTGCATGTCTCTTTCCCATAATTCAACATGCTCTCTTCCTTTGCAACCTGTTCCCAAGTGTACAGCATGCCTTTCTAAGTTAGCACTTTATCTGCTCTTTCTAAGAGCCCTACCTTTCCCTTGGCCTATTTTCATGTGAAGCAAAAGTCCAGAAATGCATGTAGTTGTTTTGTTTTGTTTTTAACAAACTAAGAATTTGGATTCTCAACATAAAATCTTGAATAATAGATTATTTGCCTAAAATAACCTATGCCTCATTTGATTTTTTTTATTCCAGTGCTTGGTACAGGGTCTGGTACATTACGGGTACTCAGTGAATGTTTGAAGAATGAGTGATTCATCCTTGTTTTGTGCTTTTTTTTTGAAGCTGGCTAAAGGTTAATGTATGCAGAGGAGACAGTATACGAGAAAAAAAATCCCACATATGACTTTGATTCTATTCAAATGTGTTCCTGCAGTTAGGCAGGATTTCATTAACATTTTCTCCACATCATGCCTGCTGAATATCATTGCCAGGTCTAGTTGACAAGTGTCGTTCACAAGTCACATTCGTGAACCCAGGACGGTATCCTGCCAGGTGGGGCTTCCTTTGCTCAGTCATAATAAGATGGCAAATGTCAAATGCTCTTTTTCAGAACTCATATACAGAATAATGTGCTTCTCCAAGGTCAGGCTAAGCACCCACTTTACTTTGCATTCATGAACAGGAATGCTGGCGACCGGTAACCTTCAGAGGGGGTGGCTGTCATTGGCAGAAGGGCACAGGCTGGAAATTGAATCTTCCTAAAAAAGTCACATCTGCCGGTTGGCAGGAGAAGGAACTCATGTCAGGGCAGGCGACTGACTGGCAGTGGAGGGCTGCTGGTTACTGATTAAGCTGGGCAAGGCATTTAAAAGCAAAGAGCACTCCCTCAGTGGAGATTAGGCAGGCTCTTGCAGGCTCTCACACTAGGGAGGGGGGCAGGTGGGTAGAAAGGGTGAGGTCAGGAAAAGGACAGGTAATGGGTATGCCCTTGGCTGGGTGGGCGGGATGACCAGCAGGGGTGACCAGGCCCTCTGTTTGGTGTCCGGAGCTGCCTGAGACCTGGAGTGTCTATCTCTAGAGCAGAAACTCCAGTCTCTGAGGGGTTGAGACACTTAATGGCTTTGCCAGCTGTCTCAAAGGGCAAGGTGAAATTCTCAAACTTAGGTGGTTTCCAAGTCTCTTGACTAATATGGAGACCACAGTTACCTTTGAGTACTTTTTGAAGGATGAATATTTCCACTCCCAAAATGCCTGGGAAGAGTTGCTGTGGCTGCTACTATGTTCACTTGTTTACTGTGTAACAAGCCTTGAGTTCTGTGGTTTGCAGATGTTACATTGCTGTTAAATTGAATCTTTACAACCTGGCAACATAGGTGTATTTATCCTGTTTTATAGATAAAGCACCTGAGGCTCAGAAAGGCTGAACAACTTGTCCCATATCACAGTGAAGGAAAGTGACAGAGCCAACTCCCCCAGATGAAAGCAATTCTGCCCCTGTCTAGGGGACTGAGTCCCTAAATAATGGTTCTCTGCCAATTTTAGATTTTAAGATATTTGGCCCTGAGGCATGCTTTTTTCTATAATTGGGAACTAACTGTACATTATTGCTCTTGTGTCCCTCAAACAGTATTTTATTAACTATAGATCAAACTAAGTTTTTTCTAACTTTAATTAAATGAAACGAAACATAGACTGGCCATAGAGTGGGCAGCAGGCACAGGAGGAGCGGGCAGCTGGCTTATAAAACATGAGTGGAAGAGGGCCCAGCACTGCAGCCTCTTCCTCTTGTCTGCTCTTTCATGCCACCCTGCCCTGTTGCCTGAAACAGAGCCAGTCACCTAGATGACAGTCCTCACAGTCTCTACTAAAATGCCAGTTTATTACCCATGAGGACTAACATGCTGATAATCACAATATTATCCCTTCACCTGTGTGGATTGATTTCTCTCATTTGATTGTCTCTTTATGAGAATTGGTGGCATCAGAGAAAGTCCTCAGTGCATGGAGTAGAGGACAGTATGTTTTGATGGTGGGAACAATGGTGAGGAGAAGGCGTCAGAAGGGATCAGGAGCATTAGGCCCTATCCCTTGGGGGTGGATCATGATGGAAGCGAAAGCAGCTAGAACTCTGCACAAGGATCTGAATGTCCCAGGAAGTGAGATAGAGACCATGGGAAGCTGTAAGTCTAAAATGTGGTGGGAGTGTTCATATAGGGTGGGGAACCCACAGATAGCTTTGAGTATTTAAATTTCTTTTTAACGTTTTTGGTAAACTGTATCAATGTGCTACTCAATCATTATGTTTTATCAAAGAAGTAAAGTGCGTCTCTCAACAGTTTGGCCTTGGCCATCCTAGGGGGAGAATGGAGGAGACGAGGAGCTGTGGGGAGACAGGACGAGAAATGCGAAGTGTGTGGTGGAGTGGATGAAGCTCATGTTTCTCAGTCCAGGATCAGGATAGTTGCCAGCTCTTCCTCACGTGCTGTGTTTCCACCCCCCACACCTGTCCTGAGGTCAGAGGTCCCAGATGGGCTCGGAGAGGCACTTACAAATGCTTGGCCGCAGCCTCCCCCAGAGATGGGCCCAGGCACTGTCAGCCAGGGGGAAACTCCAGGGCCTCTGACCTGCTCCACGCTTCCCAACCTACAGAACTTCTGACCCTCTTCTCCAACTTTCCTCGACTCCTACTCTGCTCCTGACACTCAACCCAATCTCACAGCTTATTGTTCCCTTATGAGTGGTGCCAACGAGGGCAGGTGTCAAAGACATTACCTGCAAACCAGTCACATCACCTTTTGGCTGGTGTCTGCTCCTTGATTATTAGTAAAGGCAGTGTGGGCCTCAGGCAAATTTGTCAATTCAGCCAAGTCTGCTCTTCAGTTTTCTCCTCCTCCTGCTCCATTTCACAGCAGCCAAGTGTCTGGTGCCCTCATCACCCCCTTCCTCCCATGCCGGGTACTACCCGCTTTACCATCTCATGTATTCTGGCCCTAGAGCAGCTCCTACTGCGGATCGTTCTCCTCTTCCCTTTGAGCCTATGTATCTAAACTTCCCTGTCTGGGGTTTGGTTGTTTTAGGACCTGTTCTCTTTGTAGGTGCCAGGTTGTCCAGATAACATGAAGATTTAGCAATGTATTAGGTAGCTAATATGTTGCTTCTTCCTGATAAGCAAAACTTTAAAAACACTTCAATGTAGGTTTTGGTTTACACAAGAAGGGCTTCTAACAGGAAACTCAAGAGCTGTCAGCAACCAAAAGGGAAGATAGCCCACTCTCTGGTCCCCTTATCAGCAGAGTCTGCTGCCCCCTCTGTGTCTGTGAAACAGGCCCTGGGGCAGAGGTCTGCAAGTCTAGCTTTGCACTGTATTTACAACTCGAAAAAGATCTCAGCAACTAGCCGTACACCTTCCTCATGTCTCTGGTGTCTCTCTCTGCAAAATAAGGGTTGATAGTGAGGGGGCCCTCTCCTTTGTATAGGTGGTGGAGAAGGCCACTAGATTATTGCAGAGTATTCTGCAAACACTGAGCATTTGGAAAAAGCTTAATAAAAGATTTTGATGAAATTTCTCCAGAAGTTGGATGAGAGGCTGAGATGGGATCCTTAGCAGAGTCCAGTGCTGAAGAGCAAACTTCTTGCAGTACATTAGGGGGAAAAATGCACTAAATGAAGTATTCACGGCTATTAGATGCTTTCTGTCCTAAAACATTACCCATGTCTGGCAGGTCTGGGGGATGATTTATGCTAGCCATCTTCCCATTTCGAGATGCTGTCTTAAGGCATCATTTAGACATATTGTGCTGTGAAGGTTTTGAGGCTGGTAGAGAAGGGGTGGGTGGGGTGACTCTGGCCTTCATGGAGTGAACTGTGGAACATGCACCTGGCCTCCAGATTGGCCCAAATAAATCCTGATGACCTGTCTTGTCCTGGAAGCCACCTAGGCTTGGATTTGGTAATATTTACAGGCAGGACAGAGTGTCCCAGGAGAAATCCAAAATTGCTCATGAGGACATCTTGATTTTTTCTTTAAGAATGTGGAGTAACAAGTGTCTTACCTCTGGTGGCCACTTTGGTTTATATGGAAATGTACCTTTTGACCTGAAATTCCACCTCTGCAGAGTGTTTGCTTAGAATGCATGATAAATTCTGTACAGCCCAGAGCAAAATCGAGCTCAGTTGTAAAATGTGAAGCCTGAAGTGCTTTGCTTGGTATAAGATGACCATAGTTCACTTATTTTGGGGGTTACTATTGATATCTCATGTCTGCAAGTCATGACAAGTCAAAATAAGAGAACACTGAGCATCGGAGGAAATATTTTTTTCTCTTCCCCTCTCAACCATGTTTCTCTGTGGGGCCCTGCTGTGGGCTCCCTGTGTCTGCATAGGATGCACACCAAGAAACAGAGGCAAGGCCAGGGAGCCAGGCTTCTGTCTAATGGCATGTGGTCGTGTCACCTCAAGCAACTGTTCCGAGGGGACACCATTAATGCTCATTTCCCTGGGGGGATGGAGAGGATTCAGTACCTTCCTTCCATCAGCCATGGGACAGATTTCCCCTGCCAGGGAGGGCACTCCATCCTTGGAAAATCCACTAGCCTTTGTTTTCAGCATTGGTGATTCTGGCAGTTACCTACTTTTATTTTCTTTACCATGTCTAGGTGCCATTTTGGTCCTACGAATTTCTTTAGGAAGAAAAATCTCTCTACATATCTGTAACATCCAATCTTTTTAACCAGGAGGAGTGGACTTACTCAGGGCAGTCTTGCTGCAAGGCCAAAAGAACAACCATTGAAAGAAGAGGAGAGAAATGGGAACTGAAGTTTTAATAATAAAGTCACATTGAAAGAGAAGCCATTGACAGGTGAAGGTGAGTGGATATTCAAATTCCAAGACTCTGAATCTGTGGATCAGGATCGTGCCCCTGGGTCTTTTCTTAGAGATGGTATCACCCTAGTGCTGGTTAAAACTCGAGCCCTTGAGAGTTGAGGATTTAATGGTAACATATCCATTCTGCATTGAGCTAAGCCCCAAATTTCTACTCTACTCTTTGTTTCTTTTTCATGTTGTTTATGTTCATGATCAAAAAGTTTAGAAGGATGGGAGGTACGACATATAGTTCACTATAATTTGCAGGTATTTTGGAAATAATGATCTTTTTCATGAAGTCAAGGGTACAAGCTGCCATTTACCCATTCCCAGAGCTTAATAGTATAATGATTTATGAAGGCCTCTTGCTGTGGGCAGGAAAGAGGCTGTGCAGGTGAGAGAAACAGAAATTCCAGTCTCTCTTATGGAAGGTGGATGGGTCAGTCATGGAGAAGGTAGACCCTTTCAAACTCGGTGCCATGAGACTGGACTTTGCCAGGCTCATAAGAGCCAGACACGCTGGTGTGGGATTGATGGAAGGGCAGACGAGATGCCTTAGCTAAAAAGTCACAGACCTGCTTCCCTGGCAACCCTTGGTCCCCCAGCCTCCTACCTCTGCCCACAGAGAGAAACAAGTTTACAATAAAAGCCTTGGTAGAAATAAATGTTCAACTGGGTGAGTTTACCTTACTTAGTGTGCAGGGTCTTGGTGTTTTTTTTTCAGTTGCAAAAGCAATTTAATATTGATATTGAAGGATAATTTGAAAAGCTAGAAATATCAATAGTGTTTTATATATTTTTTGGTGTTTTTATATACTTTTTAAAAGTTTTTATCATCAATATGTATGACTTAAAAATAAAGTTATATTAGATTTCAAAAATAAATCACTTATACTCCCTCAGGCTACTACAACTATTTCCATATGAGGTATACTCTCTTTCAGTGTTTGTCAATTTTGTGCAATTTTGGCATACTTTAAAAATAATTTATTGAGATGAAATTTACATAACATGAAATCAACCATTTTAAAGTAAATAATCCAGTGGCATTTAATGTATTCACAGTGTTGTGCAACTACTACATCTATCTAGTTCTAAAACATTTCCATCTTAATTTAAATGAGATTGTTGATATTAATGGGCAAAACCTCTTACCCCTTCAGTGGTTTTCCTGCATTTCTCTGTGTCTCTTTCTTCCTCCACTAATCTGTGTTCCATTTGTGTGGATTTATTTATTCTGGATATTTTATATGAATGAAATTATATAATGTGTGACTTTCTTTCACTTGGCATGCTGTTTCAGAGGTTTGTCCATGCTGTAGCATGGGTCAGTACTTTTTGTGGGTCAGTAATATTCCATTGTATGGATATACCACAGTTTGTTTATCCATCCATCCACTGATGGACTTTTGGACTATTTCAACAGTTCTGGCTCTTGTGAATAGTGCTACTGTAAATATACATGTACAAATTCTTTTTTGTGTTTTCAGTTCCTTCAGCCATATACATAGGAGTGGAATTTCTGGGTTATATGGTGATTCTGTAGGACCTGCCAGACAGTTTTCCACTGTGGCTGAACCACAGTGGTTGAAACACTATGCCTTCCAATCAACAATGTATGAGGGTTTCAATTTTTCCACATCCTCACCAACTTTTGTAACTTCTTTTTTGACATACTTCTAACCATTGTGAACATGTTATTTTGTGTAATTGATTAAGTGTTAAGTTTTAAATTTATATTAACCTCTAGTGTTTATGTATACTTGGTTGCCACTTCAGGACAATTTTGTTCTATTATCCTGTTTTTTCTCAGATCCGATGACAATACATTTGAGAACAGCTTTTGTTGTTCAAGCAAATTCTCTTGCTTCTCAGAGCAATATCTGTTTTAAACATGAGTGATTGTACCTGTTGGCCTCTGCCCCCCCCCCCTTTTTTGCTAATGAACTTTTTGAAGCATGATATTTGAAGTGGAGCTCTGTCCTAAAAGCCAAGCTGTGGGGCTCACATTTGGCTTCTGTTGATAGCCGTGCTGACAATAGGAATGCATGTATGATTCAGAAGAGTGATCACAATGGGAGATGTCTTGGAATGTGCGTACTTCCTCAGCCTACCTGCATCTCTACATTACACCTGGCGCAAGAATGAGGAGGCTTTTCCAGCTAGACTATCAGAGTTTAGGGACAGAGGCAGAGACAAAAATGGCATTGTGCCTTCAGGAGTAGACAGGATAAAAGGCAAGAGTGATTACCTTAAGACGGATTTTCCTATTATAACTTAACTGGTGAATTAAAGGATTAGGGAAAAATAACACAAGGCAAAATTCAGGATTTTTTAACCTTGGTACTAGTGACATTTTGTGTTGGATAATCCTATGTGGTGGGAGAGCTTCCCTGTGTATTGTAGGATGTTTAGCAGCCACCTGGGCCTCTATCCATTAGATGCCAGCAGCCCCCCACCCCCAGCCCCACTCCGTGCCCTGCCCAGACATTGCTAAATGTCCTTGAGGGGGTTGGTAAAAGTGACTCCCAGTTGAGAACCACTGGGCAATGCAAATATTAACTTTTTTGCTCATTAACTTTAATTTTTGGTGGGCTATTTAAAAGCTAGTGCTTATGGGGCCCCATTATATGCCAGACACTCTGCTTAGCATTTTCATTCATTTATTTCTCAGTAAATATTTGAGTGTCTTTCTACTTGGAACTGAATCTATAATGTGGACTTAACCCTGGCACATGCCTGCCCCCATGGAGCTTCCATTCCAGTGGAGAAACAGGCATATTGAAAGAATCACACAGACGTATAACTGCAGCCATGACAAGTGACAGGGAAGGGAGGCCTTTGGAGACTGTGATGACAGCAGTTTCCCACTGCTCCCGATGTACCAGGCTTTGTTCTATGACTGTCACATGTATACTCATGTGACCTTTACTACACTTGTTTGAGGTGGGTATTAGTATTCATGCCTGTTTTGCAGGAAAGAAGCTGACTTTGAGGTGGTAAAAGTCACACAGATAGTAAGTGGTAGAGTTGGGTTTTGAGACTGATGAGTTGTCTTCTGAGCCTACTACCCAAGATAGTGAGGTGAGATCAGTGAGATCAGCAGAATGAGTAGATGATAACTGGATGAAGAGGGGAAGTGTTCCAGGGCAGAGGCAAAAACAAATGGGTGGGCCTAGAGGTGGAGAGAGAATAGAAGAATGAAAGGCCAGAGGGACTGGTGTGAGACAATGTTGGGAAGGAAAAGCAAGAGAAGCTGGGGAGGTGGGTGGAGTTACTCCATTTCCAGGGCTTGCAGGTCAAGTTAAAAAGATTCCTCCTGATCCCAGAAGGGAGTTTGTGGGGGTTTCAAGTAGGGAGAGGACACTCTTAAGTTTGCCCTCATTACCGTATTTAATATTATAGCCACTCATGCTTTTTAAAGTTTACAAAATTGGAAAATGGCAGAGCTAGCCTTGAAACTCAAGCATGTCTCATTCTAAAGCCCATTCTCTTCACCACACTATGCAGCACCCTCCTATTCCAGGGCCTTTGAGCCTGACCAGGTCACTGAGCACGCCTCCTTCAGTGCGGTGAGTTGGGTCTGATGTGTGGAAATTTTGCCCCTGTGAATTTGATGTTGGCATGTGAACACAGACATAATTCTATGCATGTCAACGGGGATTCTTTAACTTGAAGTTTCTAGTCTCTGTTTACTGTCTTGCACCCCAACTTCAATTCACCCTTTCACCCTGCCCCCCACCTTAGCTCTGCTATTCTGCCCTGGGACACTGCATCCGTGGCTTCTGATAAGAATCACTCCATTCAGAGTAGCTGGCAGGTAGATGCCCTATTTGCTCAAACATGCGTGAAGGTCTCCACTCCCCGGATCTCGTGGTGGTGGAGTTTGGAACTCTTTGGCTAGCCTCCTTCTGTTCTCTTAGAGATACTGTGTTTCCCCCTCCAGGTAAACTTCAAACTTGTGTTCATTTAAATATTAATTTACAGTTGCACAATCTCTCCTGTGATATTACCACACTCTGTGGGGATTAGGCTGAGTGAGCCTCCTTGCTCATTTGAGCCACAAGTTTCGTCAGTGCTGAGACTTGCTGCGGAGTTGGATTCTTCCTATGCACCACCCAAAACACTCAGCAGTGTTAACCAGATTGAAATGAGCCCCTTCATCTTACACATGGATAATTAAACTTCAAACACTGTTTATCTCAGTCCCCAAATCCTCAAAATGCAGAAACAAATTAATTTTAAATCTATATCTGCTTTAAATAGTGATTGTTTAATCAACAGGCTTGATGTATAATTATATTCTTTGTTCGTACTCCCTGCAGGCTTGAATAGACCACATAATTCCTGGGTTGCTTTCATTTCTGTAATTAGATCATGTGACAGACCCTTACTATATTACAGTTGACTGGAGTTGCTTCTCTCCCACCCCCTTCTAAATTCTAAAATGGTTTCTCATGAATACTAAGATTATAACAGCCCAGCTTAACACGGAGCTCTGAGTGTTTTGCTTTAATCCTTCACTCTCCTTCCACCTAATAATTTACTTGGGAGCAAGTGATTTTTACTGGTGGCTGCTCCTTGGTGTTAGCTGTGTCCTTTCAGAGTCATGAGTTCTTGTCCTTATTTTGAACTCCTGTTTCCCTAAAAGAAAACCCTTCTTGACCACATAGAAACACACTGTCTGGACCCCTGGAAGTCAATATTGCTCTTATAGAAGTGATATTTAAGGTTCAAACTGAACAAAAATATATATATACTGGGTTTTTCTTTTGTGACCATCTGGGACTTCATGGAGAAAGAGGAAGTGATTTTCCTTATTAGAGAGAGTAGTTTTGTCTCCGAGAATTTATTTGACTTCTCTGGATTCATTCCATAGAAATGAGAGCTGGACATTGGATAATTAGGTCAGCACTGAAATCTATTCTCTAATTAGGATCTG